AAAGAAGATAACCATGTGAAATCACATGAAATCAACAAAGCTGCAAAGAAATTTCCTGCGCGGTTACGGTTTTTGGTTAATAATCTCATTTATTTTTCCACATCGATTTGTCTTCGGAGTTTTGTTTGTCGAGTTGCACTTGACTACAATAAAGTTATTAAATTTAAATTAGTTATTGAATATGGCAAAATATTCGATGTATCTTCAACTACTTCAACCGTAACCAAAATTGAATTGCAGCGTTTAATAGATAGTTTGGTCGGCGAGTTAGCTCAGTCGGTAGAAGTACCATGTCTTGTGCAGTTACACAATGGCCCGGTTCGAATACTGTCGGTCCGAAGTTCAAAGACTGCCATGCGCGTATGATGAGGTGCTTGCGCGTGCATGCATAATGTGTGTGTACGTCGTGTGGTGTGGCTAGTACAGTCTATGTGGCACGAAGGTTTAAATACAGGGATGATGATATGTAAGCGGTTCTGCGTATGTCAGAGCAGCATAACAAAGAACAATAAAAAAATGTCCCAGGCAGGCTATTATTGAAAGAAAACAAAGACAAGTCTCTTAGCCTTTTTGTGTGTTTCTGCATTTAATTATTTGTTTGTGTAAATAAGGTTTTTAACCAACACTGATGTTATACAACAATCCTCCTCACGACTATGTGATTGGCTTATGCTTTTTTTTATTCCTCGAATGTTTATTCCTCGAACGACTACTAATTGTTTTTTAATTAATGCAGTGCATTATTTCGACCAAATGTTTAATTTAAATATTAAATTTTCTGAAAAGCTTTTAAAAAATAAAAAAGTTTTAATTTATGTTTTATGACTTTTTAGAACATTGAGATTATTACTTCGTTTGGTAATGAAGATGTGTTTATAAATCTGCTTTTTCAAAAAAAAATTGTGTTTTTCTTGTTCAAAAATTTTGAAAATGGGAAAAATGAGAAACGGGAGGGGATGGGAGGGAAGACGCGGGATTGAGTTCAAAAAATAGGGAATGGAATTTTCGGGAACGTTGTCAAAAATGGAAATTTTGGAGGTAATCGGGAATGAGAGAAAAATGGAAGGGAATTGGGGACAAATTTCAATTCCATTTACCTCTATTATCGATCAACACTGAACCTTCACAAGCAAACATAAGCAAAAATTTATTATAAGCACCAGGATGAAAATCAATTTGTAAAATGAAACACTCCAAACATCGCCGCATCAATTTTAACCAAATTTAAAATGTGACAAAAAGATAAGTTGACAAAAATTTTATTTAATAATTAAACACTTAAAAAATAAAAAACCAAACAGCAAATAACCAATTTAAACAAATAATGAAAAAAAATCAAAGAAACATTTGAGTAACCATTGAGCGAAAGATTTTAAACAACTCATTCAACAGCTTGAATGCTTGAAAAAGTTCCCACAAATTAAACTACATGAAAAATATATTAGTAGCAGTAAGACACCGACAAGTTAGATTAGAAGTAGTTCAAATAAAAATTTTATTTTATAAAGAATGCACTATAAATAGTAATGTGTATAGGAGGAATGTGATGTATGTGTGTGTATTTTATACATATGTATGTTTGTTTGTTTGTTTGTTTGTAAGTATATGTTAAGTATGCGGCTATGTGTGTGTATGGATGTGTATGTAAATTTATGAATGTGTGTGTGTGTGTTGAGTGTATGTGTGTTGAGTGTGTGTTTGTGCGTGTTGTGTTGTGCGTGTGTTGTGTTTTGTGTGTGTGTGTACCCGTGTACCCTTCTGTACACTAGTTATTATCTAAAAGTTGTGGACCAGACGTAAAAAATTGAGCAAACACTTATACGAGTGTGTTGTGTTTGTGTACGTATGCGTGTATTTTTGAGTGTACGTTTATCTGTGTGAGTGTTGGTTCATGTTCATTAACACAGGTGTTTGCACATGTGTTTTGATTTGTGTTTGTTTCTACTTTCTACGTGTGTTTTTAAGTGGGCGTTCGTATCCAATACCTCATTGCAAGAACATAAGATGATTTTTAAAAGAATTGTTCATTACATACGACGGTTTTTACATTGATGTGTGCGGTTGAACTTCTATGTCTATACTTCATTTCCACAGGACACCTTTGCAAACATTAATTATAAATAGTTGAAAAGATCACATGGAATGAATTGATGCAGTTTTATAGAAATTGTCTTAACCATACCTTCAACCTCAGTTTATAACTCAACGTTGCACTCCTAGCATAACATATTCAACTATTTAGGAAAAAAATTGTTTTCAGGTCTGGTAAGCTAGAAATTCACATGAACGTTTAGCGTAGGTAATAATAATTCGCATAAAATTGTTTAAAAATTTTATAAAATTATAACGTGAACACTTATATTATTTTTATGCAACCATTTTGCAGAGGCTTAGCTCTAACTATTACTCATTATGACAAGCCATCATAAACATGATGTGACGTCACATACATGACTCCGCGTTTGTGATGTCACATACACGGCATCACGTATATGACTCTACTTGTGTGATGTCTCATCCCACATGCAAGTAACATCAATCACATCCCACCACATCACACCACACCATGCAGCAGAGTTGAGAAGAGAGATCTGGTGAGCGACGAACGACAGGAAGAGATGCCAGTATACACAGAAGCGGTTGCCATGGTCATGGAGTCATCAATTACTCATCATTGTCCTCAATTTGTTTCAACGAGACTCACCACGTTTTTATGCAATGACCATTTATCAATCCACGTTGGCGATTGAACGTGGCTGCATTTGTGTTGTAGTTTTTCTTCTTAATGTTGTTTGTAACGTTAATGCTGCAGCTGTTGTTGTTGTTGTTGTTTGTTATTATGGATGACGTGATTAGTGATGTCGTATTTGTTTTAGTTTCTTTTGTTAAAATTACAGACAAAATATATTTGTTGAGCGTGGGCGATGAAATTATTTGATTTTAAAATAAATTCATGTGATGTCGTTGTTCATTAAAGTGCACACGTTGTTGTTGTAGTTGTTGTTGGGCGGGTGATGGCTGTGATTGATGTCTTGTTTACGTTGGAACATTTGTTCGTTTCGAGTCAGTGCACCACCGTGTTGTGTACAAACTTGTGACTGTGTTAATGATGCTCTGTTTGGCATCATCATCTTCATCTGCGTGTGTTGTTTTTTAGCTGGTGGCTGACTTTCTGTGAATGTGTGTTTGCTGGGGTTGTTGGAGATCAAGTTGCATGCATGTATATGTTTTAGTACTTAGTTGATTCGCAATTTTGTTACTTCTGGAGTATGTTGAAAAGTTTTATGCCCGTTTTGTCGTTCATTTTATTGTTCATTATTAATGTCACAAAAAATGTACTAAAGCTTATTTCAAATTCTTCTGTTTAAACGGTTATATCTTTAAATTTTTTGAAATATTTCACAAAATTGCAGTTCAAAATTTTATTGCTAATAAAAAATGAGATTTTTATTTATTTAGGATTTTTTGTGGCCTAAACAACGAAAAAACTTTTGTTTCTTTTTTCAACTTACAGGACAAATGACACGTGATCTCTTCCAAGAGAGAGACCTTTCATGATGACACTTACTTTATAGACGCGTCATTATATTCATGTTTAGTACTGTCTCAAGTATAATCACATCGATCATTAATTTTTATGTGTGTGCATTTTGCGTATACAGAAAAAAACAAATGAATATAACGTATTTTGTATTTGTATTTTGTGTATGCAAAAAAAATGAAAAAAAAAACATTTTTTGAAATAAAAAAAATTATTTTTTCATGTTGGTCTAAAAGATGGTAAATCAATAACTCAAACAATGTAAGGCATAAAACTGTTTAAACCGTTTCCATTTAGCATGCATGGAAACAAGTTGTCAATCAAACCTCATTATTGCAACTGTTCCTTCCTAACGCATGGACACATACACAAACACACACAAACACACACAAACACATACAAACACACACAGACACACATGCACTTCCAACAAAACGAACACAGGCACCACACTTCTTAAATCACGATGAACAACGTACGTTAACGAGCACAGAAACGCACGCACACACGCACACACACACACGCGCACACACACGCACGCACACGCACAAATGAAAGTGGGAACATATTATATTTCAGGAATCGATCAATCAATTAAGATTTATGCGCTGTAGCGAAGGAAGGCAAACATTGAAACACTCCATCTGAAGCTGAGTTGTACAACTAACAAATTCGCTGTTTTCAAATAGAGTTAATGAAAGACTTGGCAGATCGCATTAAATAAAAGAAATAAATTTATACGCTAAGTGCTTACTTGTGCAATTGTGCTTATGATATATAATTTGTTCAGTCTGTATATATATATATATATATATATATATATATATATGCGTGTGTGTGTGTGTGTGTGAGTGTGTGAGGGTATGTGTGTGTATGTGTGTGTGTGTGTAGTGTGGTGTGTTGCATGTGTTTGTGCGTGTGTGTGTGTGTGTTCATGCATTGAGGTATTCAGTGGCGGATCAAAGAGGTAATGACTTTTAAAACTCTGAAGTAGATGACATTTTTTGCTAATTCCTTTTAACATTTTGCGCAAAATTTTCAGCAATATTTTCACGGTCTGCATTCTTGTACCACCACCCCACTCCGCTCTTTTTAAATGATGATAATGATGATGATGATGATGATAATGATGATGTTGGTGATGATGATGATGTTGATGATGATGACGATGATGATGACGACAGAGATGATGATGACGATGACGTTGATATCATAAGTTCGCATGATGCGGATGAAAGCAAATTATTTTTACTCCATTGTTATCGGTATAATGATATTGTTCATAAAGACGATGATGACCACGAGTAAGGGGATGCTTATTATGACCATGATGGTAGCGATGATGATGATTATGACGACGACGATGATGATGATGATGATGATGAAAAAGCTAATTATGACGATGAGGAAGATCTAATTAATTATGTAGATAATGATGAAGACAATAATTCCGATAAAGTCATGATATGTTGATACCAACAATACAATGATAAGATGATACAATGATACGAAGGTACAAGGATACAATGATACAGTAATACACTGATTCAACGATACAATGATAAAATGATACAATGATACGATGATACAAGAATACAAGGATACAAGGATACAGTGATACATTGATACAGTAATACAGTGATACACTGATACAACGATACAGTGATAAGATGATACAAGGATACAGTGATACAAGAATGCAGTGATACATTGATATAAATTGATTGTAGCCATGATAGTGATTATAAAGATAATGCAGGTGATGAGGAAAATAATTATAAACAGATGATGAATACGCCTGCAAACAAACATCATCACATGCATGTACACTGCTTCACGTAGATGAAGACAGACTGAAATTATATTTCGCCATTCAGACGTCGTGTCGTCTAGCGATCTTGTATCATTGTATCACAGTATCATAATCATAGTTATGACGTCATCTTAAGTCGCCGGCTTTGTATCTTTGTATCACTGTATCATTGTATCACTGTATTATTGTATCATATTCAAAATTATGACGCCATATTAAGTCGCCGGCTTTGTACCATTGTATCACTGTATCATTGTATCACTGTATTATTGTATCATATTCAAAATTATGACGCCATATTAAGTCGCCGGCTTTGTATCATTGTATCACTGTATTATTGTATCATATTCAAAATTATGACGCCATATCAAGTCGCCGGCTTTGTATCATTGTATCATAATCAAAATTATGAAGTCATTATAAATTGCAGGCTTTCTACTTCCCTGTCTATAATATTTCAATAACAACGTTAAGAACCATGTGACGATGAATGTTAGAAACGTAATACCGCAAGATAAGAAAGAGCCCTGCTGAAGTTAAGCGTTTAGGTACATTCCATCTTGTGACAGTTGCACACCATCTAAACATAACCTGAAACTTAAAAACATGCCAGTGTTACATAGCACGTGATATGGTGGTGTTTGTACTATCGCTTTAGAGAAACTATTTTTATAAAGAGCACGCTATACAAAGTTTGCTATAATTGTGAGAATACATACATACACACGCAAACACACATGCGCGCGCACGCACATACATACACAACATACATACAAACATACAAACATATATACATACATACATGCATACATACATACATACATGTGATGCGAAGTAACAACAGCCTGTGTGGCATTGATAAATGATTCCAGAAAGCATCGCGTCGCTCTAATTGAAAGTCTTTGAAGAAACTGTTCGCTAAATAAATGATAATAACAAAATAATTATTTTTATTATTTTTGACAGATATTTATTTTGTAATTTTGTCGTGTTTTGTTTATACTAAATTTAATATGGTGCCGTGGAAACATCACGTGACACCAAAAAAATACTTTTTCAACACCCGCCTCCGTAACATTTTCCTAAAAAATCACTTGACCCTTCCCTTTCTTACGACAAACACAAAAAATTGTAAAAACTTAAGTTTCTCTTTAAAATTTTTCTCACATGCACCATAAAAAGATTCAATTTCAACAACATTCTTTCTTTCAAGGTTTATGTGTTAGTTGTTTTTTTTTTCAAAAAATAATCAAGAATCATTTTCCAACATGTTTTGCAGATGAATGAGTGTAGATAAAGAATTTTAGCGTCTTGTTCTAAAGCTATAATGTAATTTGCGTTTTTCAATTTATAACGGCTAACTTAATTTATTGAAGATATTCTGACAACTGATAATTTTGTTATGATTCTTGGTAATAAAAGAAATTGTTTGTTTCTTTGTCTGTCTGTCTGTCTGTTTGTTGTTCGTTCGTTCGTTTGTTTGTTTGTTTGTTCAAACAAACGAACAAACAAACGAACAACGAGCAAACAATAGAACAAACAAACGAATAAACAGACGAACAGACAAAACTTGAATCCGAAGCATACGGAAAAACTTTGGAAGCATCTTCCTCGCAAGATTTTTATTATTTCATTCTCGTCCTTCTTTCTATCAGATTTTTATTCATTCAGTTTTTTCTGTTTTTTATCAAATTATCGTTCATTCATTTCTCCCCTCATTCTCATGCTTATCCTTTAATCCAGTCAGTTATACATTCTCAGCATTAAAATATCTCCCCCGTCTTATTCCAGGCAACAAAATTGTCTCGTTACGCGCCTTGCTTACATGAAAATTTTTGGAAAAATGATCCTCTGTATGGATCGTTGGCGAATTTTATGACCAGCCACCAATGTTTCTTATTATGTCTCTTCTTCTTTTGTCCATCTGTACGAGCCATGTGGTGCGGTTGGTGATGCGCGTTTCAACATGCACTTTTCTGTTGGTTTGTATTGACTTGTGTGTATGTGTGTTCGTGTGTGTGTGTGTGTGTGTGTGTGTGTGTGTGTTGTGTGTGTGTGTGTGTGTGTGTGTGTGTGTGTGTGTGTGTGTGTGTGTGTGTGTGTGTGTGTGTGTGTGTGTGTGTGAGTACTACTGAGTACATGGTGCGAGTACGAACGCGCCCCCGCCTGGATAACGTGAAAAGAAAAGATTTATAATTTTTTACTCAAGTACATTATTATTTCTCAAATGGTTTTTTTTCTGTTAATGTTAACATCGTGAAGCAATACAATCTCGTTAAAAATTTGTTCATTTCAGTGTGAAAAAGAAAAATGAATTTAAATAAATTTGAAATTGATTTGTAGAGACATCTTCGAAAAGATAAATTTTATTCCATTTTTGCTTTTTTCGCAAATTTGTCATAGTTTATTATTGCTAACTAATTTTTCTGAAAATTTTTTGAAATATTAAAAACACTACTGGCTTGCCTTCTGCAGAAATTTACATAGTAGGAATGTCAACATTTCAAATTACGAACAGTTGATACGAATCATCGAAATTTATATGAAACCGCTGGGATCATCTTTTTAAATTGATAAATTCATTATAAAATTTGCAGAAATATCTCTTAATTAGCTATTTCGTTTTTGAAAAAATTAATTAGATCCTTGAAATGGGAAAAAAAGCTTTCATTTTAGATTTTGTTGCTATAACGTAATGCAGTGATTTACTTGAAACTGATGGTTTTAATAAAAAAAATATTCAACGCTGAGTAATATTTTATGTGAAAAACTTTTACATGGGACAGTAGCTATATACTACATAATGTATGTACAAGCCTGGATATAAGTATAAGCAGTAAATACAGATAGTATTTAAATCCTGTTGTGCCATTCAAAAGCAACAGAAAAAAAATTATTAACTTTATAAGTTAAACTGTAATTCAATAAAGAAGAGTTGAAAAAGTTAAAGTTACACAAAGAACCTAACAATTTTAACATCTCGTAGTGTCCTATCCTCTTTTGAAAATTATTTTGACTTGTCTCATCGCTTGTTAATAAATTTATTTCGTTTGTTCAACTATTTGCTAAAAAATTCACGTTTATAATTTGCACTATATTAACACATGAATATTAAGAAATTTAAAAAATTGTAACGATAAAATAAAAAATAGCTAAATGGAAATTTTGTAACCTTTGTCAGTTCATATGGTTGGGTATTATTTCACTTGTTGGTTTGTCATTTTTTTTTGTTGTTATCATGTGATGGGGTATTGTGAGGCAGTATGTTAGTGCAAGGACTTGGACTGATGGTAAAATACGTGATGAAATATTAATGCTATGATGTGATGGGGTGGTATGTGATGTTATGTGATGATGTAGTAATGTGATAGTTTGTTGGTGACGCTGGCACATGACTGGAATTGAATATTAGCATATCAGGTCCATGTTTTTTGTCAGCTTTAATTAATTCTTTTGTCTGCGTTTAATTAGTTTTATAAATTTCTTTTAGAAGCGTACATTATTTTGCTTGTTTGTTTTTATTTTATTTTATTTTACATCGGAATAAAATAGTTGAAAATAGCTATTTGTCTTTCTTCAATTTTTGTTCAAGTCCAAACCCTATTTTAACAAACATATTCATTACTTTTATTCAACAACTGATCTATCTGTATCATTATCATTTATTTTCAATACCTCTATGCTTTTTATTTTGAATAATAAACAGTTACTTCATATTTCGATCATCTACAAGCTCTGCAACAAGTAACATTAATTCCTATAAATATTGTATTCACTTATTATTAACGTGCTGATGGCGTTTGTTGAAGTTGCTGATGCAAAGTGGTGGCGAGAGGATAATTCAGAGGAAGTGAGAAGGTGAAGACTCACTCGAGCAGCAGCAGCAGCAGCAGCAGAACTAATAGCAGTAACAGCAGCCAAGAACGTGGACTTGATTGATTTTGACCGAGTGCTCGGTTCCAAGATGCATCGAGAAATAATTAAGTGGAAATATTTCTTCCGCACTCATTAGGCGGCTGCCATTTTGTATTTTATAAATCTGATTTCCCATGCTTTATATTTCGTTGAGACATTGTACTGAAACATTCAAAACCGAAATTATTCTGAATATTTATTTAGCTACGTGTAACAAGTTTAGATTCAATACAGTGCAAGATGTAGTATGTGTTTGTGTGTGTGCGTGTGTGCGTGTGCGTGCGTATGAGTATTATTGTGATGCAGTCAAGTGCAGACATTGATATGATCATTGCGTTTCTTTAAAAACGTTAGCGTGCGCTATAGTGCATTTTGTTTAACACGCAATGCTGACATAATGAACAAATAAATGAATAATTTTCAACAACAACAATAGTAATAATAATAAAAATAACAACAATAAAAAGACGATTTACATAACAACATAATAAACATAACTATATAAATAACAATAATAAGAATAATAAGAAGAGCAGCAAAAAGTAGCAGCGAACGTAAGGACGGGCGGCAATATGCTGCTGTGTTCATTCAGTGTTGTTGTGTTGTTATGGAAGGATATTTATTTACGCTGTGCGTGATCAATCAAGAAGCAGCTTTGTATTGTAATAAGGAGATGATGATGAATAGTACGCCGTTAACGATAATCTCAAGGATGACGATGACGATGATGATGATAACGACGATGATGATGACAACGATGATGATGACTACAATGATGGTGACTACAATGATGATGATGACAATATAACGGTGGTGATGGTATGATGATTAGAATGTTGATGATGACGACTACGATGATGAAAATGATGATGATGATAGTGATTAGGATGATGATGAAAACGATGGTGGTGATAATGATAATAAGATGATGATGACGGCTACGACGATGATGATGATGACAATAATTTTTGTACTGAATCACTGATGATGTT